TTAAAATACACTGTCTTGTTGTTAAATTTTAAATCGAGGCTTTCTTAACCTGACAAGATAAATAGAAACTCTGGTAAAAAAAAAAAAAAAAAAAAGAAAAAACCTTGACGATAATATATCCAGGTTATAAATAAATTTTACAACAATTATAACAAATAACAAACTTACAACAATTTATTAGGTAATGGTTTTCTGATCGATTCTATCCTACATTCAATATGTATTCTGATGATTAAATGAAATATACATTTTGGATCGAATCGATTGTGATTAAAAAAATAAAAATAAAAATTATTCAACAGAGAAAGAAAGAATGAAAGAAAGAAAGAGAGAGAGAGAGAGAGAGAGAGAGAGAGAGGGAGAGAGAGAGAGAGAGAGAGAGAGAGAGGGAGATGCTCATGAACTGTGCCAAAACTAATTAGAAGATGAAGAGGAGGACTCTTTCCTGTTAGACATATATATATATATATTATATTATATATATATTATACTTATTTACGTCATAACGATAAATTGTTAATCATCGCGAGATAGATCATCTTGATCATCTTGATCATCTTGATCATTTTGATCATTTGTCAAGTATGAAATTAGAATTTTGAAAATGTTGAAATTCGATTGATGTTAACGAAGGATACAAAAAGATCTCTATTATTTCAAATTTTATTAGAACTTATTTATCTTTCGTTATTGTAAAATATTGTGAATAATAATAATAATAATAATAATATATATTATTCATTTTTTTAAATGCAAATTTAAGTAAACTTTAGTATAAATTATATTATATTATTATTAACTGGCTTTAAAATAAAAACATATAAAATATAAAATATAATTGATGAAAGATAAAAAAATTTAATATTAATATAATTATATTAAATAATGACAAATTTTATTAGATTTTATTTATCTATCGTTATTGTTAAATATTCTAAATAATAATAATATATATTATTGATTTTTTTTTTTAATGAAAATTTAAATAAACTTTTTAGTATATATTATATTATATTATTATTAATTGGCTTTAAAATAAAAACATATAAAATATAAAATATAATTGATGAAAGATATGAAATTTAATATTAATATAATTATATTAAATAATTACAAATTTTATTAGATTTTACTTATCTATCGTTATTGTTAAATATTCTAAATAATAATAATAATATATATTATTTATTTTCTTTTTAATGAAAATTTAAATAATCTTTAGTATATATTATATTATTATTAACTGTGGCTTTAAAGTAAAAATATATAAAATATAAAATATAATTGATGAAAGATAAGAAGTTTAATATTAATATAATTATATTAAATAATTAAAAATTTTACTAGATTTTATTTATCTTTTGTTTATTGTTAAATACTTTAAATAATAATATATATTATTCATTTTCTTTTTAATGAAAATTTAAAAAGTAAATTTCCTTCTAGTATATATTACATTATATTATTATAATTATAATTGGCGTTAAAATAAAAATATATATAAAATATATAAAATAATTGATGAAAGATAAGAAACTTAATATTAATATAATTATATTAATTAATGATTTTTTATTAATTAAAATTGAAATAATCTTTAAAAAAAAAAAAAGTAACAAGTTCAATCTTCTTCTAGTATATATTACATTATATTATTATAATTAATTGGCGTTAAATAAAAAAAAAATATATAAAATATATAAAAATAATTGATGAAAAATGATAAATAAAACTATTCATTACTAATTAAGTTAATAATTAATAGAAAAGTGAGTTTCCTTGGAAACATAATATGATGGAATATGTTTGAACGTTTTATGTAATAAGATGATGAGCTTACATTAGCTAGCGGTAAACGTGTCTTTGGTAAACAAAAAAAAAAAAAGAAAAATAACCTGTCGTAGAGACGTTGTAAGGACGTATATTATACAGGTATTATAACGTATTATAACTCTACGTCATTGGTAAAGCGGATATTAATATTAGAAAGTCGATAACGAGGCGAATGGCCGACTAGACTAAGTAAAGAGAAAAAAATATGAAAATAAAAAGAAAGAAAGAAAGAAAGAAAGAAAAAGAGTTTAAGTGTTGTATATATGTGTGTGTGTGTGTGTGTACACACTCATACATGTAATGTATATTTTATGTGTATGTATAAAATAGAGATCCTTGTGTCGTCCTTCGAAACACTGAGAAATTACACATCGATCTAACAAATAAAAAAAGAAACTTCACATTGAAACGATTTTTTGTTTGTATAAAAGTATAATAAACTTTATTTTAACAAATGAACAATAATTAAAACTATGAATAACAAAAATTGTATGTACAAAAACATATATAAAAAAAAAAAAAGGATGATCTATCTTGCTATCTTACAAAGCTTCGATATATTTCACTTTTAATATTTAATTAACTCATTAATTATTATTAACGAGTTGAAGAATTCTATCAAAGTTGAAGATAAGGTTATTTAAGATTGCCAACAAAGATGTGTTATCAGTGAGTTGAAAAACGATGTTATGAAGAATCGAGGTGAACTGGTTAAATGATTACTAATCTATGAGATCATTGCTATCGTAAAAAACCATAAGAACAATTGCAAAAATACAACATCAATTACGACAACAACTATAAAAACAACAACAAAAACAAGAATACAGACTTATTATGGGAATTGTTGAGAATTAACAAAATATGCATATACATGTATATATTAAAATAAAATAAAAATATATATATATATATATATATATACATATGTATGTATATTATATGATTATTATTATTATTGTAGTGGAATTGCAAACTGTACCTATAAAAATGCGTTCGCGCTCGCTATGTGTTTCATGCGCATGTACTGTGACGGCCGAAAAAGAATATTATAATAATAATAATAATAATAATAATAATAATAATAATAATAATAATAATAATAATAATAATAATAATAATAATAATAATAATAATAATATTAACCCTTTGACTGCGGCGCGCTCTCGAATCAATCCATTCATAATAAACGGCGCCGATTTTCGCATGTCAGTCGCTGGGACTGTTTTTCCATTGACTACTCTAACCAAAACAGATAATAATGGCAAATAAAATTAAAATATGAAATTTTTTATAATTTTTTTAAACTATTTTAATTTACTTTATTTATTTTGTGCATTCCTTCAATAATAATCGTTAATTTAAATATAAAAGAAAAAAAAAATACAAAATTTATAATGTAACCACAGAGTATAATAACTTTAACAGAATATTTGAATAATTTTAACCCTAATTATATAAAAATAATATAACGATAATGAACGAATAATGAAGATAATAAAATTAAAATAGACGACGAATTTCAAATAAATAAAAGTAATTAACTAAACGACATTGAAATAATTGCCAATATTTAGTTGCTATGTTACATATCACAATAAATTCCGTGTTAACTTAATCGGTAATACAGCAATAAAGGTGTTGTAGTAAAAAAAATACACAGGACGTATATTTACACCTTTCGTATTTATTAATGGATTTGTGAGAGCGTATATATACGCCTTTCGTATATACTGATGGATTTGTGAGAGCGTATATATACGCCTTTCGTATATACTGATGGATTTGNATGGATTTGTGAGAGCGTATATATACGCCTTTCGTATATACTGATGGATTTGTGAGAGCGTATATATACGCCTTTCGTATATACTGATGGATTTGTGAGAGCGTATATATACGCCTTTAGTAGTCAAAAGGTTAATAATATTAATATTAATAGTAATAATAATAATAATAATAATAATAATAATAATAAAGAAAAACAAAAAAAAAATAAAAAAACGAAAAAAAGAGAAATTATATATGTATATGTATATATACATATGATAAAAAGGATATTTTCAAAAGCTGTTATTTAGAAGCCGTATATTATTATTACACGTATGTATTTAGCTGAAAAAGCCTGTGTGATTCTTCGATGCAGAAGAAATTGCTAACGATTGTACTCATTTTTTATTTTCTTCTTTTTTTTTTTTTTTTGGTCTATTTTGAAATTTTCTTTTTACCTATTTCTTTATTCAAATATATATAAGACAGTGTAATTAAAAAATATACAACAACAACAACAACTATCAATCGTTGGTAATTTCTTCCCATGTTTGTATGTATTTCATCATGCTTGTGTATGTGTATCGCGATTGCGACAACAAGACAACACAATAAAAAGTAATTATTACAATGAATATAAAAAAAAAAAAAAAACAATACAAGAAGAGAAATGTTACACAAAAATAAAAATAAAAATGACAAGAAAAAAAAAAGAAACAAAACTATTCGTGTATGTATAGAATATAAAACGTAAAAAATAATTAAAAAAAAAAAAAAAAAAATCAGATAAAAAAATTATAAAAAAAGAAGAAGAAGAAGAAGAAAAAGGATTTAGGCAACGTATAAAAAATATTTAGTAATTACGTTAGACAAATTGAAGAGAAAGGAGTGTAATTAATAAATCAAAGGACAAATCTGCTAAATGTGCCAAAATGATAATGAATGATAACAAATGAAAATTTTAAAAGAAATACATTGAAAAAATTAAAAAAATAAACACACAAATAACTGTAGCCTACAATTTGTCAGCGAAATGATCGATGTATGGTACAAGTTTGATTACGATAACTAACGAAGAATTAAAAAAAAAAAAAAAGATATGAAAAAAAAAACTCACAGATAAATTAT